ATTGAATTGAATTGTTGTGTTGTTTGAAATGATAAACATCTTAAGACAGATCCGAAGAATTTGCCATTCATTTCGTTAACACTTGAAGTTGTGTTGAAATGTCTGTCAATTATTGCTAATAATACACACATTCATAAACATATTGCCCAACAATACAATGAGTTGATTTAATTTAATCCATGAAAGTAAAAGTTTTGTTTTTTACCTTAAGCTCTACAGACTTTTAGCTGTCGGTGTAGTTATGGTAATGACAATCAATTGCAGGGAAATATTGTTTTGTTTTTTGTTAAATTTAGTTTTTTTGCAAATGTATGCAATATTTGAATAAAGATATAAAATTGAGACAATTAAACAAGTATTGCAAAACATGACAACTCTTTATGGTATCACTGGAAAAGGGTTGAGACAATTATTGTTGTGTCTGTTTTACGACAAACATTTGCCTCAATTCTCATTGTCTGTGACCATAAAAATTATTTACAGAATCACTATATATTCACGATATATCCTGACATTAAATTCTTAACTTATATTTAGCATAAAATAATATTCACATTCAATAGACTATTGAATATTTGATAGAATACGTAAAATATAGTACAGTATATCTTATAACTGATAAGTTTACATTTCAATTGTATTCAACAAAAATCTAAATATATTAATTTAAATGAAAATCAATTGAAAGTCAACAACAAAAGCCTAAGACATCGTTGATGTCATTCACGAGGAATAACGTGATTCTGATCGGAGAGACAGGTGTCGGGAAGACATCACTGTTGCGGCGATTCATTGATAATGTCTTCACTGGGAATGAGATGCCAACACATGGAGTGGCGTTTCGCTCAGTCGACTATAACTATGATGGCCTGCAGTTGAAGATCGCTATTTGGGACTCATCTTCATTACCACAGTATAGACAAGTGTCACGTCTTTACTATAAGGACGTGTCCGCAGCCCTTATTGTGAGTCTATTTATTATATTCTCTATTATTCTCTGTTATTCTGTGATGTTTTTGGCGTTAATATTGCTTTTTATTAGTGCTTTATATTGAAAGCTAAATATATTTATTTTTTATTACCATATATTAACTAAATGTATGCTTAAAGGCTTGTTATGAATATTATAATAATAGATAACTTAATGTCTAATTTCCTTAAACAATAAGAGTCTTATCAGTAAAAACTTAGACATGTTTTGCAGACTTTAGCTAAAAGTCTTATGTTTTATCATGTTTTTTATTTCACAGCAAATAATTGTTTTCAAAAAAAAAGTCTAATTTCCTTAAACAATAAGAGTCTTATCAGTAAAAACTTAGACATGTTTTGCAGACTTTAGCTAAAAGTCTTATGTTTTATCATGTTTTTTATTTCACAGCAAATAATTGTTTTCAAAAAAAAATAAAAATATTATCCGTTATCTATATATCAAAACTTATTTTTAGAAAAATAATCACAATATCATATCATAAATTAAAATATTATAATTAAATGAGATAGTAATTACAATTAATTAATTAATATAACATAATAAACCTTTGGCTGATAATTAGGTCTATGATGTGAGCGATAGGGCCTCTTATGAGCGGACAAACTACTGGATTAACGCAATTAGAGAGCATTCAAATATAATTAAATACATAGCGATTGTGGGCAATAAACTAGATCTGAGGGACCGATGGGAGGCCCGACACGTGACCAGACGGGAGGGTCTGGAGTTCGCGAACCGGAAGAATGTCGAGTTTGTCGAGTGTTCGGCTAAAGTGGACATTAATGTCGCCGAACTGTTCT